GGCCTTCTGGATGGCAGAATGACACAGTGCCTGATCTTTTGTCACCCTCCTGACAAATTCAAGTACACTGATAGGCTACTGTGCAGATCCGGCCAACTAAGGGTCTGCCTTGCTCCTGCCAGTACTCTGCTTCACCAAACGGGATGCTCTCCTCCCTCCTCCAGTGACCAGTGCCTCCTGCTGGGCTGGACCATGTTCAGGAATGATCTGTAGGATTTGCATTAGCTGGTTTATAGAGGTAGACCATTACATTAGGCCTTCCTTCCTAGTTTGCCTGAAGCTTGGCAGGAATTTACCCACCATGGGCAAACCTGTTGGTATTTGAAATACCTGTGGCACAGCTTCCAGAATCAGCCCATACCAGCCACCAAGTGCAGCATGCTGACAGATGGGTGGGGGAGTAATGCACCCCCCCCCCAAAACAAAACAAAAAACAAACATCGCCACTGAGTCATTTCTAACTCACAGGGACTCTAGGACAGAGTAGAAATGTCCATAGGGTTTTCCAAGACTAGTTTTTTGGTAGAAGCAGTTGTTCCCGAGGAGCAACTGGTGAGTTTCAGTAACAGCCAAGCGCTTAACCACCGGGGCACCACCAGGACTCCCTTAGCACCACACACAAACTCAACCCAACCCAACCCACTCTTACTGAACTGATTCCAACTCATAGCCACCCTCTGTAGGGGTTTCTAAGACTAAGTCTTCATGAGAGCAGGCTGCCTCATTGTCAGCAGAGCAGCTGGTGAATTTGAACTGCTAACCTTGTCAACACCTAATCCCCAGCACCACCGATGCTCCTTCGCAGTACACAAAATAATTAATAACTACATTTCTGAGGACCAGAAGGGTTTGTGCAATGGATACATGTCAATAACAAATAACATGTAAATGATGTTATCCTCCCACGCTCACTGCCGCCCATCAACTCTGACTCAGGGACCCTGTGGGACAGGGTAGGACTGCCCTTAGGGTTTCCGAGGCTGTCATTCTAAGATGAGGATAAACCTAGGTCAGTCCTGCTTTCCCTGGTGCTGGAGTTGGGACCTGGATTGAGGAAGGAGCCCGTGTGGGCCATGGGACTGCCCTGCACACAGAGAAGAGAAGCTACAGCCTGGTGCATGGGCTCTTGGGCAGAGCCCAGTGGTATACACCTCAGACCTAAATCTGGGAAGGATGAATGGACTGGTGGGATCTGAATGGTCCATGGACCTCCTAGGTGTGATGTGTGCAGAAAAGAAAATTGTAT